CCAAATTTCCTTGAGCTTTCAAGTCACCACCAGCCATTCGAAAATTACCAAAACCACCGCCAGCTCCTGGTCCGAAACTAGAAGATACGCGCGGCGGGCCAAAATTATTATTCCCAATAGAACTTTTCATAAATGGAGAATCGCCAGTGATTTTTTTAAAGCTTTCACTTAACGAACCGATGCTAATGCTTTGATCGGAATCAAGAAAACTTGGTTTAAAAACATCTAACGCAGCTCTGCGTTTCTCCATAAGTTTTTTCAATTCTGGTGCTAGTTTATCCGGTGGTTCGAATTGATTATTTCTATTAAAACATCGAGAAGTATTTGGAAAGATATTGCGTCCACCATCTCCCATGTCTTTTTGATCGAAACGATCTAAACTATTTCTGTTAAATCTATCGCATTTTTCTGTTAAGTCTATTCCATATGGATCGATATTTGTACCAAGAAATCTGTTATCATTATTTGGTCCGAAACGGTCGGTAATCGACTCAGTTCCTGATCCCATTCTATCAATTCCTGGCCCAAATCGATCATTCCCAGATCCAAATCTATAGCTATCAGTTCTGAAACGATCATTACCAAGTTCAGCTCGATCGTTTCCTGAACCGAAACGATCATTTCCAGATCCAAATCTGTCATTTGTCGAACCAAATCGATTATTTCCTGGTCCAAAACCATCACTTCCAAGAGGATATCTATCGTTGGTGAAATTTATCTTCTGTTGACCGAATTGTTGACTATTACTTCCTTGTTCTTTATAATTTCGATCGTCTCTTCTAAATTGCTCCGATAAAGTTTCCGATACTCGTTCATCGTTTAATTGATTGTTGTAGTTATCGTTTCGTTGACCAAATAAATCATTCGGTCGGAACTGATCGTGTGGCGTGCCATCTTTTTGTCGATTAGATTCATTAATACCAAGGTTACTTGGATGATTATGGCCACCGCCGTCACCACCACCACCACCACCACCCATTGTGCCAGTTTTATTTAAACGATCGTTACGCGGAAAATGTCCGTCAGGACCGGGTCCATTGTTCGAACTAAATGAAGGAGGAGGAGGAGGAGGAGGAGGAGGTGGTGGTGGAGGAGGAGGAGGAGGAGGTCTTCCGTGCACATTCGATGAAACCTGCGGTCGAACATTTGTATTTTGTCGTATATCGTTACCAGCAAAACCCGGCGGTGGCTGGGAGAAATTTGGAACATTTGAAAAGTTTGGCGGTGGTTGTGTAAAATTTGGCGGTGGCATTTGCGTCGATGGTGCGCCAAAAGATGGCGGAGGCACACCAGTTATAGACTGAAAGTTACGGAAACTCGACATATTTACTCCTGCGTTATACTGTGGCGTCCATTGTTGAGAATTCCAAAATGACGAAGAATTCATTACGTTAGAAGACATCATATTCATATTCATATTCATATTCACTGGTAACTGGGCTGTTGTCGATTGTGGTGTAACTTGACAAGAGGATGTTATTGTCGTTGTTTGAACATTGGTTGCCGTAGTTTCTGTTGCTGGTGGTGGCGGCGGTGGCGGTGGAGGTACACTGCTATTTTGTTTTCCAGTTAAACCAAGGGTTTTTCCAATGCCTAACAAATTGTTGATCAATCCCTGGTTTTCTGTACTCGACAAAATATTCATTATTTTATCATCACCAGGTAACTGTTTATTTTTCTCAACTTCTGTCTTAGTGGCTGCCTGTTTTTGCTGTTCACGTTTTCTACGCATCTGTTCGCGTCGTTCGATAAGCTTCTCCCGCCAGGATGTCCACTTTGCTTCATACTGTTTGTACTGGGTCTGCAATTATAATAAAAATTATATGCCATTTTAGTCGAATTCTACCTAGTAGACTAGGTAATTTACTTATACCATTTTAATTAATGCATTACCCGTTTTTCTTTATCGATGCATCAAAGTAATAGCAATCGTAACGTTACTTACCTTATCTGGGTGATTAGCATTTTGCTCTTTCCACTTGTTAAATTGCTCCTCCCACTGTTTAAATTGAGCATCGAATGTTTTCTCAGCCTCTGTTAATTCTTCATCTTCAACTTTTAATCTTTTAGCACTATTACATTCACTAACGCTGCTACTACCGCGTTTACCGGTTAATATATTTTCTTTGATATTATTACTGTTTTCAGGAGGTAGCGGTGGCTGATTCGGTGGTAAAGGAGGATTTTGAGGACAATTCTGTGCATTAGCTTGCACTGTGATATTTGCATTTTGTTTAACAGGAAATAATGGAAGATTGTTTTGATGTGGTGGAGGCATGTTTGTAAATTGATATGTGTTTGGAGGTAATGGCGGTTTTGTGTCTTCCTTTGGAAGAGGTGGTGGAGGTTGTACAGTTGGTAATTGTGACACCTGATTGGCTAGGTTCATATTCTGCACCGATATATGCTTCATCGTTTCTTGATACTGAAACAAAATTTAATCAACAATCATTGAATAAACGCCGATCAGTGTAATGTTTAATGTGATTGAAAACAAATAAATTATTTTCTATATTTCATTCATTTTTCATTCAAACCAAAACTGTACTTGAAAGTTTTACTATAAACACATCAGGACTCTAAACATTCGGCCACATTTCTCGCGATAATAATATTTCGATATACTTTAATTCAAGTCATTTAATAAGGCGAATGGCAATCCCATATACCTTCTCTCCGTATTGAGCTTGCCATTGCTGATATTGTTGTTGCCATTGCTGCCACTGGGCCCAGTTTTGTTGTTGAGCTGCAGCCCATTGTTCTGAAGTATATCCACTGGGTGCCTAATAAAAAGAAATGATAACTTTATTATTATTCATTATAATATAATTATAATACAATTGCTCTGCTCTTGGCACCTAAATAAATTAACACATTCTGCTATAAACCTGTTCGATACAGAAATCTCTTGCATTCGCAACATTTCCAACATTAATATAGTTACACCAAATGTATGAAATAGCCATCCAAATTTTTAATAATTGATATAACACTCGATAACTTTCATTAAAAACTTAATTATTCGGAACTGGAGCTATATAATATGTGAATAGATTTTTAATTTTAATGCGATACTCACCGGTTGACTATAATACTGCATGTATGCTTGCATCATAGCCATGGGATCTGCTCCTGGTGCAGCGTAACCAACTGGTGGTTGTGGCATTGGAGTGGCAACAGCACCAGCTGACAATTGCCATTGGTTCCAATTTTGCATTTTTAAACCCTCTCTCTAGCAAATGGTTTGCTAGCGCATTCCAAACTGTTTTATCATATAATAGAAGACAAAAGTCACATGCTTACAAAAGTTAGCTATAGTATATGATTTTAAAAAGGACATAATAAATGCCAATAGTTTTTTTGTGACTAGAGACATATGGAAGATTCAAAGATCAACTTTATTTTCTTAAATGAAATTTGAAACTTTTTTTTATAGCAGTATTCATAGAGTTTACAACAAATTTTAAAAAAAGAAAGTATTAAGGGGTATCTATCAAAAAAATTAACAATTTCTGAGGTATTCAGCTACAAAAGCATCGTTGAACAATGCTTTGTTTACATCCAGTTAGATTCAACGTACGTGTGATATAATAATTTGCAAATCACAGTTATACTGTTTTAATAGTCGAATAATGCCGAAATGACCCATAATATTTGTATCTTTAAAATTTGTTGTTCTATCGAACTCTCGCATAAAAAACATTTAAATATTTAATTTAAAAGTACAAAGTCGATCTATAAATCTCCTCTATACTTTCATTGGCAAAAAAACCATTGTGTATATATTACATCTTCTCTCAAAGCTATACAACTTTAGCATCATGATCTGTATATTCTAGGACACGCTATATATTACCTGAAAGCCTACGCAAAACAATATGTGATATAAATATGAATAATTGTTATACGATAACAATTATTAAAATATATAAAAATAACAAAATATAAGACACACTATGTAATCGTGTAGTATATTCGTCAAAGGTTGTAACAATACAACGATAGATGTACAACAAGCTACATATTGTAATACACCTTTTGTATAATCTTAATTGCATTGGAATATATGTACAAGTGGTGCACAAAACTTGTGCTATTAAACGTGCGTTGTTAACATATTCAAAAAGGATGTTCAATGCATCAAAAGCCAAGCTGGGTCGAGTAAAATGCATCGCATTGATGAATGTACGATATGAAAATGACAGACAAGTACAAAGTACATTTATTTTTCTTGCATATTTTAAAAATATCAAAGACATAAAATGCACGTCGATTAAATATCAACAATTCATTGATACAAATTCAAAAATATGCTATGACAAGTAGCTCTACGCAATCGTCATAATTTTTAGCGAAAAATTAAATTCCATTTATTTATCACCAATATAATATAATAAAATATAATACAATAAGCGCAATAGAATTTTTATAGGTTTCTTGTATCGATATAAACAGCATTTGTACTGTTCGTACATGTAATATAAATCGCGCACCGCGAACAATTCATATTTAAATATATGATATATGATCTTCCGAGTCCTTAGAAAAGTGTACAAGGATAAAGGATGTAATTGTAAATACATGAAATTAGAAAGTAATACTCACAGCTGGATAAATTCAGAAAGCAGGTGGAACTTTTGATGTAGAATTCACGAAAACCGTACTTGCTTAAACAATTACTAATGAAAATTGGCACATTAACATTAACATTAACATCGATGGTTGAAACTAGTGAAACTGATATAAATGGCGGCCAGGCGGCAGACGGCTGACGACGATCAGAACAGATCGGAATGGATCAGAAGACCAGGGTGAACCAGGCTGGCCATACTCGAAATTGCTCGCAATGCTCACAATCAATTCAGATGGAAAATACTAACAGTAAATATCTTGAAGATAGATAGCCAGCACCAGGTGGCGCATGAATCAGGGATCAGGGTCGAATCATTGGCTTGGCGCCTGTCTAGATGTTTATATGTCTTATATCATTGGCATTGCAGATTGCATACAACGATCATACAACACAAGTACAACTAATCTATATACTAACAAAATTGTCTTTGCTAACAATGATTTGATTCTTTGTTACAATGTCGAAGGCAAAAGTATCCGCGGAATGGAGAAAGCGCGTAAAGTCCGAATACATGCGTCTACGACAAATGAAACGCTATAAACGGGCAGACGAGGTCAAGATAGCTTGGAATCAGAATCGTAAGGTTATGTCTGGTCGGTATCTCTTCTTTTCGTAATTGAAACAAAACTTTTTACTTGACTCATTTTCTATCGTTTGATCAGTTAAAGTTACGAACATGTTGCTTGTTTTCTTACAATGCTGCTGTTCTCTTTCGTATAAATTTATAGCACTATGCCCATAGTTTACAAACACATCCAGAAACAAGAAATCTAATTATGCATAATTTATGATTGAACTGTACGATTAGAGCTGTTAACGGTTGAACAAAAACGATGGACGGATGGAAAGGCGATGTGGCTGGCTATGCAAGATATTCCACCTCATGTTTCTTGCATGAAAAAAGCGGAAGTTACTAGCTCTGATGGAGATATACAAACATGTCCTGTCAAAATCATTAACGCTGTCACTCCGATACCAACCATGTACACCTGGGCACCTATACAGCAAAATTTTATGGTCGAAGATGAGACAGTGCTACACAATATACCTTATATGGGGGATGAAATTTTAGATCAGGATGGTACATTTATCGAAGAGTTAATAAAAAATTACGATGGAAAAGTATGAAGTCAAATTATACGTTATAATTTTGTTATAAAATGCCATAGTGTAGAATGTGAAGCTTTATAAATTATAGGTTCATGGAGACCGAGAATCTGGTTTTATGGATGATTCCATATTTGTGGATCTGGTAAATGCTTTAACGCAATACGAAAAAGAAGATAAGGAAAGAGAACAAACGAAAAAAGGAAAGGATAAGGAAGAGGACAAAGATAAGAAGGATAACAATATTAAAACAGAGGTCAAAATGGAAAAGTTATTAGAAGATGTTAAAATGCATGGGAAACCATTTCCATCTATGCATATATTCAATGTAAGTTAATAATCACACAATCATTTTGTTTTGTTTGCTCTGATTTGTCACGTTACCATTTTAATTTAAGGCGATATCCAGTATGTTCCCTGACAAAGGCAGACCAGAAGAATTAAAGGAAAAATACATAGAATTAACGGAAAGATCAGATCCGAATATCCTGCCACCAGAGTGTACGCCAAATATCGACGGAGTAAACGCTAAGAGCGTACCGAGGGAACAAACTATGCATTCTTTTCACACACTTTTTTGCAGAAGGTGCTTCAAATATGACTGCTTTCTCCACCGTGAGTATAATAACACCGAGTAAGTTTTGCTCTTTTCGCGACTCGCATATCTTCGCCTACCTTGCTTCTAAGCACTATACAAGGTATAGCGTTACGGCCGTACACGCTGGATTCCCGTTGTAAATGGAACACTTATTAATCGCAATAATCTATGATTCTTGATTTATCGTAGCAGCCAGGGGATCATCGCCGCAAGGTAAAGAACAACATTGCGCACAAACGACCGTGTTTGAGCAATTGATTCTCTCTCTCTCTCTCTTTTTTTATTTTTTTTTTTTTTTAATTTTGTTTAGCACAAAGGCATCATCAAGGATTCGTCTGCAAATTGAATTTTATTCGTCATTTATTGTCCGTCTACTACCTACGTTTACCTCGTTCATTTATTTATTTATTTATTTATTTACTTACATTGTGAAATATATTTACGCTAAATTTACTACGTTACTTATAGGTCTTCAAGTCTGTCATCCGGGACCGAATCTGCAAAAACGGAAGGGACCCGATTTGAAACCATTTTCTGAACCGTGTGGAACGGAATGTTACATGCACTTGGTATATAAGAGAAAAACAAACAAAGATCTCTCTAGATGAAGATGCAAACGTAGGACGCTTGTAATACTAATAACACATAAATACCTTTTCTTTTGTAGGAAGGAATGAAGGAGAAACTTGCAGCGCAAGCAGCTGATGTAAAAGACGAGGAAAGTGACGAAAAACGCGGAGGTCCTAGAAAAGTACGGAAGCAAGCGAGTGTAGATTCTGGGAATGAAGCGAGTAGCGAAGATAGCAATGATAGCAACAAGTATAGTCAGGGGGGTGGTTGTCAAGGTAAAACGATTGACTGTTATAAAAAAGAAAGTCGCTTTTCATTGTACTCTCGACACAAATTGTTAGCTATTCAATGGACAGTTTTGTCTGTCTAAAAACGTGTCTGTGAAATGTATCAAGTACCATATAACTTGCTGATAGGATTAATATATGTATGTGTATAGACCCTGATTAACTAGTAGCATGTTGCATTAGATTTCAAACAGAATGTCAATAAAGAAACAAAGCCAGAAGAGTCAATGGAAGATCAAACACAACCGGAAAATCAAGTGCCGTTCATGCTGCTGGGTCTCGATAAACGTATAAAAACAGAAAACGAACTTTCGTGGACTGGTTCAGAGCAAAGCTTGTTTCGAGCTCTTCACAAAGCCTTTCCCGGCAATCCATGTGCATTAGCACAAATAATGTTGACGAAAACTTGTCAAGAAGTTTATCAGTTTGCACAAAAAGAAGCTTCGGATATTCCTGCGATCGAAAATTTAAAGGACTTTACTCCGCCGCGAAAGAAAAAAAAGAAACATCGGCTTTGGTCGATGCATTGCAGGAAGATACAACTGAAGAAAGACTCTGGTAATAGGATATATGCTTAAAATAAGTAACGTGTTATTTAATCGTTGTTTAGTTAGATTTTAATGTATAAATTATCGATGTTTTCTTTCGAAAGGTGCTAATCATGTCCATAATTTTGCACCATGCGACCATCCAGGAAGACAATGCGATAACTCGTGTCCATGTATACAGGCTCAGAATTTCTGTGAAAAGTTTTGTCAATGCAGCAGCGAATGCCAAAATCGATTCCCGGGATGCAGGTGTAAAGCTCAATGTAACACGAAACAATGTCCGTGTTATCTAGCCGTAAGGGAATGCGATCCAGATCTTTGCCAGACGTGCGGTGCAGATCAGTTTCACATTACCAAAATATCCTGCAAGAATGTTAGCGTTCAACGTGGTCTTCGTACGTGACACATCTACATTTTCTTCTTCTTTTTTCCCATTGCCCTTTAGCTCATCTATTTATCAATTATAAATAAACTATATTTCAGATAAACATCTTTTAATGGCACCATCCGACGTGGCTGGTTGGGGAATATTTCTTAAAGAATCCGCAGGAAAGAACGAGTTTATCTCGGAATATTGCGGTGAAATTATAAGTCAAGACGAAGCTGATAGAAGGGGCAAAGTATACGATAAATATATGTGCAGTTTTCTCTTCAATCTTAACAATGGTAAGAATATCGTAAAATAATGGTCGGTTTAATCTTACAATTAAACTTACGTACGAATGTACGATTGAGTATGAATTTTAACTTTCAGACTTTGTTGTGGACGCTACAAGAAAGGGAAATAAAATTAGATTCGCAAATCATTCGATAAATCCTAATTGTTATGCAAAAGTGATGATGGTAAACGGTGATCATAGAATTGGTATTTTTGCCAAAAGAGCTATTCAACCTGGCGAAGAATTATTTTTCGATTACAGGTATAGTAAATTACCTTTTTAATTGGTATTGCTTGTGCATAAAAGATTCATTTTTCTTTACAGATACGGACCAACGGAACAATTAAAATTCGTGGGTATAGAACGTGAGATGGAATTTTTGTAATGTATACAAGACTTGATACCGAACATCGATGATAATGTAACGTTATAAAAGATGTATAAATGTGTAAGAATATTGTACAAATCGAACACGTACATATGTACTTGTCATATTGGATGTCTGGCGTGCTGGAAATTCGTTCAATTAATTTCACATTTTACGTGTAAGGCTCGTTCAAAAATTAACCACTGATTGGCAGCGTTTTCCGTAAGTCAACCGTTGACTAAACCTATCGGTTCGGCGTTGGTTTCGAAGCACTGTATGAGAAAGAATAGGGTTCGATCTACTTTTTTTTTTTTTTTCTTTTTTCTTTTACGTCTCGTCACGAATTAGAAGGAACCTATACCAAGATTGCAAAATATCTTTATACTTGAGCAGTTAATAAAATACATTTAAAAAAAACGCCATGATTTTATAGTTACTCATCAGCTAACACACGTAATTTTAGATTGTGGTAAGCCTAGCAAATAGCTAGAAAAATGTATTATACGGAATAAATGTTAATCGTGAAAATTACGCGGACATCTCCAATAGAAAAGATTGAAAAGAATTTTTGTTGGACATTGAGCAACTGTTGAAATTAAAAGCTTAGGTTTTTCCATAAATGGAACCGATGCGCAATCATTTTTTTAGCTGGGTATCCGGTGTTGCCATCGGTCGATAGTCGGATCGATCCGACAACGTTTATCTTGGTTACAAACAGTTTGCGGTTCGTTTTATTTTGGACGTAACTCGCTATTAATAAAAGGGCATGAGGTGGCGGTCGCTACTGCCAGCACTAACAGTAACTACCAGTACCAGTACCACTGCCGCTGACACTAGTTGTCGGCGCAACTACCACACAACGTAATGAAACTGTACCGTGCTTCAATTGATGCTTCTGTACCGCGTAAGTACTTTTATGCACATACACATGCACGCAAATACGGACAGTATGGCATTTGATTCGCGGTCACTTTTTACGTCGAATGTTCATTTTTCGTTGACAATTTCAACGTTACGCTACTTTACGTGGCCGCTAGAAATTTTTCTCCGTTTACTCCGTTCTACACCACCACGTTCAACCTGGTCTTATATTTATCTATTATTCTACATATCCAATAAAAAGGAAAAAAACTAATAATCTTTTTTTTTTTTTTTTGATCGCGATATTTTTGATTATCATCCGTTAATTTTTTGTTTGTTAACTAATACGACGATGAATTCAATTAATTTCGTAATGTGTATAATAAGTAATAAAGTTTGAACGATCAATGTTGTTTTAGAGAAGTCGGAGGAATGCGTTGCGAACGAAACGAATGTCGAAGAACTAGAAGAGCTGCGCGACAAGTACGAAGGAAAATTAACAGCATCCCTTTATACCGGCACTCTATTCGTCTCTGTAATTGCTTCGATCTTCGCAGTAGGAGTCCTTTGCATCACAAACTATCGGGTAAATTCGCTAATCGATCGCTTCGTCATATTTTATGACCGATGTCTGTTGGCATTGACACACTATCATACCAAGTAGCAGTTGTAAAACTGCTACTTTTCCGTCGGAATCAAAGCGATACGCAAGTATGCAAGGTAGTTTCTTTTTACAGGACTTGTCCCAAGTAATTGTTCCTGCATCGAGTTTAACGATAATGCTGTTCTCCTCGTTGAGTTTGTTGCTCCTGACGCAGCTACCATCGACTTTAACGTCGATTAGAACTCGATTTCTTATCGGTTTCGCTTCTTCCACGATCCTTGGTCTTGGAATTTTGATTCTTCGAGGCTCGGTGCCTTTATTTGTAACGATCCTTGCAATGGTTGCCGTCTTACCAAGAAGCAACCGACATACTCCGACAATTCTTGCAATTATTTTTATAGTCGTGCATTTGGGTGGAAAATTCGTATTTTCCGATTACTCGAATTACTACCAAATAACTCAGGTATTTACTAGCTTATTTCTCGATCTTTTTCGTCCAAATCTCGTTTCTTTCATTTTCACAATATGTATAGTTTATATTTATTCTCACATTTATTTTTCGTACAATCGGGTTCGCGTTGTACCATTTACTCGATCACCGATCGTTTTACTTACTTTTAATTAGATATGCAGCGAAATCGTTTTCCTCTTGGCGGCAGTACTTGCTGGTTCGTATTACAGTATTCTAACTGCAAGAGCGCACACTAAAACCTTTTCTGGAACGAAAACGGTCATCGAATCCAGAATAAAGTTAGAATGCGAAAGGGAACAACAAGAACAATTACTGTTGAGCGTTATTCCGGCCTATATAGCTGCAGAGGTAAGTCTAGATCTATCTATACATAAACATAAACATAAACATACATATAACACGTATGTATTTATGATATATGTAACGTTCGAAACAGGTGAAACGGAGCATCATGCTGAAAATGGCAGACGCTTGTCAGGAAGTTAGCAAACATCAACAAACCAGATTTCACGAAATGTACGTGCAGAGACACAACAATGTCAGGTAAGGAAAAATGGAAAAAATATATTCCAACAATTACAATGTTCTAATAACTGAACCGAATATTCTTCTACTTGCGCGGGAGTTAGCATTTTGTATGCAGATATCGTGAATTTTACGCCGCTCTCGGAACAATTGTCAGCTTCGGATCTAGTGAAAACGTTGAACGAACTTTTCGGAAGATTCGACCAAATTGCACAGGTAAATATCTGCATCTTCTTTTACGTTTCCTTTTCCCTTAGGTAAAGAAAAATCAACGCTCGAATAGATACGTGTTAAAACATTTACATGTTACGTGTACCTTTTTAGGATAATCAGTGCATGAGAATCAAGATCTTGGGTGACTGTTACTACTGCGTTTCAGGACTGCCGATCTCGCGACCGAATCACGCGTATAACTGTGTAAACATGGGACTCGAAATGATAGATGCGATTAGGTATACACGTATGTATATGTATACATATAATGTAAAAAATAAACAGAGGGTGTCACTAACGATAAGCGTAACTTTATCAGGTTTGTTCGCGAAGCAACGGGATTTAACGTGGACATGAGAATCGGAATACATACGGGGAACGTTTTATGCGGAGTACTCGGTCTACGAAAATGGCAGTTTGACGTTTGGAGCGACGACGTTACACTGGCAAATCACATGGAAAGCGGAGGTTTAGCGGGGTACATTTTAGTAAAACGTACTATCGATCACGCATACACACATGCATATTTTCATCATAACCGCTTATACCATTTATATTTACCAAGGAGAGTACACGTAACTAAAGCCACCCTGCTTCACCTCGGTGACCATTTTCAAGTCGAACCTGGTAACGGAGGATTTCGAGAAAGTTATCTTGCACGACATAACATCGAAACTTTCTTGATAGTACCACCGAAGGTAAGATGACTCGATTCCTATTATCTAATCCAACTTTAACTTGCAACTACTTGTTGATTATCACATTATGATACACGTATATGCCGTCAGCATCGGCATCCGTGCGTAAGCAACGGTAAAATAAAAAGAAACAAATGAGAATTAAGAGACAAACTCTTGGTCAACGAGGTCATTTAAACGCTTGTCAAATATGGATAGATCGTTTTCTAAGTTTAAAGCGCGCGCGCGCGCGCGCGCGCGCGCGTGTGTGTGTGTGTGTGTGTGTGTGTGTGTGTGTGTGTGTGTGTACTACATGTTCCAGAGTTCAATTGTGATCCGTATTTAAGAGACCGCCAATTATGTGATTTGGAAAAGTTGATCAGTGTCCTCGCAACGTATGCCAAGGTCGTTTCAATTGGTGTTTGGATGAAAAATGTATTTTTATAAAAACATAAGTTGTATTACAAGTCAAAGTTTGTGCAACATGAAACAGTCCCGGGCAGTGATTTATCTGGTATTTTATTAGAAAAGCAGCCAAGAAAATTCAAAGGATAACATCAGTGAGCGCGTACATTGTGGCACTGCTTCGGTACCGACAAGGTAAGGATACGATATCGTTTAATGGTGTTGTTCTATTACTCTGTTCTATAACTGTGTTACGATTACCATAGGTAGCCAATAGACATTGATTACTACCTCGATTCTCGCAAAACTTTTCTCTATTGTCAAATATTTACTCCTGCAATTTCTTGAAACTTGACATGTACGGACCTATCGACGCGGTAGCGATATGCGTTTTTATACATATACATATACGATTTATATGTATGTATATACATTTTACATAGTCTACCCTACTGTCAAACAGATCAAGACCGAGTAGCAAAATGACGAAATACGTTGAATGTTGGGGAGCGGATAAACCTTTTGCCAATATCGCAGAAGCTACGCTTGCTAAAAATATCGGTTTAACAGTAAGTAAACGAGTTATCGAGTATGTTTCTCCTTCTTACTGTTTACCTTGACAGAACGACAAAAGAAAATGTAACATAATAAATCGTACTATATATTGTACTATTTAAACAACTCGTTATCTCTGTTTCTTTCAGAGCATCGCCATGATCGAATCGAATCTTTTAGCGAACAGTAATGTCAATTGTTTCATCGACGTAAAGTAAGTTGTTTTTTTTTCTCTCTAATTTCAATCGGTGTAACGCATATCTAATCGACGCTATTTATATTTCTACGTATCCGTTCGAACGCGACAGAGAGTGGTGCAAGGGTAACAGCAACGGTAACGAGGGTATGTCACCCTTTACTTACCAGTTCAACGATCAAAATCAAGAACTTGAATTCCGTGAACAGCTCGACGAACAGTTCCTTTGGTATCTTCTCGCCTCTGGTACATTCTACGCGATGATCTTCTGTATTCAGATCATTTACTTACCGAAGTAAGTAAGTACTTACATATCTTGTAAAATAGCGAGTATCATTAGGTGTAATCCCTTTTATTCTGATAACAAATGGTACATCTACGAATCGAAACGAAGCGAAATGAAAGGTATGTAGACATATCCTAAATTGTTGTTGAACGGCATCCATTTTGTTACAGAAGCGTGACAGTTTACGGCTGTTTCGTAGCAGGTTTGTTACTCCTGTCGACTTTCGCTGCGACTTGTTGGTTAGCTAGCAGATCCGAAACCGAAGGCAAAATTTTCCGGCGTCCGTTAGTTTTAACCAGAGCCATCAGAATAACGGCGTACTTGGTTACTGCGTTCCTGTCTACCGGCTCGTCCATGTTGAGTCTCATCGATGTCGATCAGACAAACGGTTACGATGTCGTGCCAGTACGTATGAAACTATGATGAAGCTCATACGGGAAAAGCTTGACATACATCCCACGAGCAAGAAAAATATTCGGATAGAAGACCATCTCTCTCTCTCTATCTCCATCTCTATCTCTATCTCTATCTCTAAACTGCCTTGTTCAAATGCTCAGTTTATAACAATTTAAAGCATTAAATACGGTAAAAAATTGGAAGAATTGTCTAACGTGTCTTACTGTCCAAATATATTTATTACTCACTGTGCATTTAATTAATTCGTTAACTGATAGATGTCGATCTATTGTAATTTCATTAAATAAATAATTAACGAAACCGTAAAGTTGCGCGTGTAGAATCAATGATGTATACTTGGATAAAACTCGAGGTTAAAGAAATAATATCGTTGTTTCAGCTGTACATCTATTCCGCAGTGATGTCTCTAATTGTTGGTTGGACTTATCTACGAGTCGGGTTTTTCCTCAAATTCTGTGCAATGTTCGTTTCCGTAACAATGATGCTCGTAACGTTTTCGCAAGCATCAGCTATAAAATCATACTGTACGATCGAAAATGACGGGTAAGCGAAAAAAATCTTCAATCTACCCCTACCCTTACCCTTACCTCCTTTCTATTCGATTAGCTGGCTGCTCGTTTTTATTGCATTTCGCTTTTGTTTTGTTTTGTTTTGTTTTGTTTTGTTTTGTTTTGTTTTGGCGCGCGCGCACGCGTGTGTGTGTGTCGTGTGTCGTGTGTCGTGTGTCGTGTGTGCCGTGTGTGCCGTGTGAACATTTGATAGAAAGAAAGAAAAAGCAGACGAGGTATTTCGCAGACTTTACCACATTCACTGCCTCCTTCAAATTGGATATTTCTTCGCACTCGTATGCCTCGTACTACACGTTTTAGACAGACAAGTGGAATACGCCTCGAGAACTGATTTTCTGTGGCAAAGTAAACTGAAAATCGAACAGGACCAAGTTGAAACTATGAGGGGTATTAACAAGATTCTCCTCGAGAACATACTACCTGCTCATGTAGCGGAGCATTTCTTAGCAAACGACAGAGCTACTCAGGTGAGTTTCGTCCCCAAGTCCTACACGGGAGAAATGATACGATACAAAATTTTCACTACAATTTTACAGATTTTACCTTACGATGTTTTCCTTTTCTTTTTCTTTCGTTTTTTTTTTTCATTCGAGCAGGATCTTTATCACGAAAGGTATAATAGTATCGCCGTCATGTTTGCGTCGATTCCAAATTACAAGGAATTCTATGATGAAACTGACATAAATAAACAAGGATTAGAATGTCTCAGACTTTTAAACGAGATTATTTGCGACTTTGATAAACTATTGCTGAAACCAAAGTTTTCCGGAATCGAAAAGATTAAAACTATCGGTAGCACGTATATGGTTGCCTCTGGACTCAGTCCAGGGAAAGAAGACGCCGATGGAAAGGTAATGTTGCCAAGTTTTATTTATACGAACAATGTTTCAAGACACCAGACTTAAAACTGCAAAGTCTGTTGACAGTGATTTTGTTACCGCCCATTAACTTTTAGGATCCGTTGAACCAACAAGATCACAATGTAATCGTTCTCGTCGAATTTGCTCTTGCTTTGATGACTATTCTAGATCAAATCAATAAAGAATCTTTTCAAAGATTTAAACTGAGAATAGGTGAGTATCGAATATCGAGTATAGAGTGACTGTTAATAAATGCATGCAAATCGTATGTCTCTTTGCATGTGCATGCATACTTGATATTAGTACGATACAATATTAATGATAATATTTGGAAAAAGTGATTGTGCGAATAATACTGGTTTCACCCACTGCACTGTTACTGTATACATTGTACGGAGAACAACATTTCTTTTGAGAAGGTTTGAATCACGGACCGGTGATAGCAGGCGTGATTGGGGCGCAAAAACCTCAATACGATATTTGGGGTAATACTGTAAACGTGGCATCGAGAATGGACAGTTGCGGAGAAATGGGAAAACTTCAGGTCACCGAAGATACGGCCAAGATTTTGATGGCTGCTGGTTACGAATTGACATGCCGAGGGCCCATTTATGTTAAAGGGAAGGGCACGTTGATCACGTATTTTGTGAAAACACCATTCGACAACAAAGACGAGAATCACTAGTCTGCAAATGTTTAAATGGTTAATCGAAGCTTAGCCACGTTAAAAAATCTGAGTAGATTTAGTACCTATAATTGGTTAACGACAAGGAAATAAAAGCGTTTGTTTCGCCTAAACAATGTCAGAAATCAATGATTATCGAAATAAAATGATATTTTTCTTCTAACATGGTAGTTTTCGATACAATAAGATTTAACAAAATACAATTTCAATGCAAGATAAAGCAGAAAATAATTATAGAATATTATTACTTATCGATCGAAAAGAACAAAGAATGTCGAATCGTTGAAGAACTTGGAAAGTAAATTACGCATAACACTGGCCTTGATTTTGCAAACACCACTCAGGTTGCAAGCTTTCCGCAGCGATTCCTCTTCTCACAAATCGTTCTCTATGCCTGAGCATTCTCTGCTCCGCGTGAATCCAACTCGAGGTTGGCTCTGCCCACAATCTTTCAGCGAGTGCTGCTGCTCTAGGCCAGATTTTCGAATCGATCGTCATACCGTCGGCTTGCTCCGTCCAAAGAGCCGCTTCTCCTCCTATTACATGTACATGTACATGTACATACACGCATATTTCATCGATCTCTTCATCTTTAACTATAGCTCTCTTTCGTTAACTGGATACCAAGAGTTACCGCTCTTGGTAACTTTTCTTTTTAACGAAAAGTTTAACGTTAATTAAGATATTGTAATTCAGAGACCGATACTTGACCCTAAAATGATGACGATCATTACGTAAAAGAACAAGTTTTACCTAATATGAGATTTCTTTTCGTTTCGAGATGATGCGACGCGACTATCTTCAAAGGGGAATTGTCGTAAACATTTTGCCAACCTTTGTAAGGAGCACACCAGTTATTACCTTCGCCTATCCATGCCGAAAATCTGAAAAAGAAAAAAAAAATATTCGACTTTGGAAATCAAATAGAAAGTAAGTATTTGATAATTTCGGTAGGTTTGCTCACCCACAATCTAAATACAGAGCGTCATAATTGGAAAAGATGACTTTAAAATTATTCTGCAATAATCTACTGATGGTAGGGTCATCTTTGGATGTCCAAATTTGTACGATATATTTCTTTGGATCGAGATATTTAATATTGTCCGCGTTGGTCAGGCCGCTGGTCCATAAAATGACGGGTATCTCTTTACCTCCGTTAGCGAGAATCAATTTGTTCAATGCATTTCGTTGGAAGTAATCCCAAAGCTTATAGAAATTCGACTCGGATAACTCCCAGTTTTTGACAGTCTGCATCCAATTTGTAATAGCGGACGATGAATTCCAACAATTTATATTCACTTCGTCCCCGCCCATGTGAAAAATGTCTGGCTGGAAATCCTCGATCATGTCTTTATATATACCTTCGAGAATTTCGTATACTTTTTCATTGGTCGGATTAAGTTGACCGCAAGGCGGTTCGACGCAATAATTTCTCCAGGGTTCTGCTTTGAGGCAAACTACAGCGTCGTCATCAACCTTGAAACCGATTAGGATGTTGAATGTACACGGTAAATTTCTGTAATTCGGAAATTCGACCGAAAGCTGTTATGTTAGAACGCATACCCACCCATTGCCATCCTTCCCCTACATGGGCAGGTGCATCGAATTCCGGCAATACTCGAACACCCCGAATCAATCCATGCTCGACAATTTCCTCGACATCTCTCTCATTGTAGATCTTCTCAGGTGTATAAGAACCGAATTTTGAAAAATTCAGCCACGTTCTACCGACGTAAGGAAAACTATGGGAATCGATGATATGCCAATGTAACGTATTCATCTTCGACATGGCCATTCCATCGATTGTTCGCAGTATTATCGACTTTTCGATAAAATTGCGACTAGTGTCCAACAATAATCCGCGGTAGGGGTAAACGGGTCCGTCCGATATCGATACCTGACTTGGAATTTGAATCTGATCCCTTAAGTCGTCGAAAACGATTAACTGGCTCAATGTTTCCAAACCGTGTCTTGCACCAAAATATGATTTCGCCGTTATCGTTGCATTCAACATCTAAATGTTACATTCATACATATACATATAAATTGTATATTTAGTTTTCCCTTGTGTACGAGAAATCGATAACGAGAATGTTTAACAAGCAAATTAATAGAATTGGTTGACAACCTCACCGTTTCCTCCACCTCCGTAATAGTCAAAGTGTAACTTTCGTCCGTGTTCAACGTTAATTTAACGTTGCTAGTTTCGAGGATTCCTGTAAATCGAACAAGCATGCCCAACCCACCACTTTCTGCCACCAATTTCCTACCAGATTTCTGTGCATTGTGTTTCAGTAAAGCCAGATTCTTTCCAAGTAGATCTCCAATTTCTTTCAGACTTTCTAAATCAGCTATCGAAATTTTCTCAGGATCAAGCTGGACCATTCTTTTGCTTAAAGATAAATGCCCCGTTGGTTTCGGCCACAATGAACTGGACGCACCGCAAAACAATTCGCATACTTCCAACGAAAATGGTGAAATCACGTCCTCCGTAATTTCCTGCTTTTTACAAAGACCACCTTCGCATTTATAGTACCATGGAAAACTGTGAGCAAAAGTATTACTTTTTTTTTTCTTTTTTCAATACTTTCTACTGTCCCTTTAAAAAATAATCATGAAATTTTCAAGCAGAACCGCTCGTAAAAGCTATTATTATTATACATGGTATCCAGAGGAAATGCTATCATGTGCATATGTATCGGTTGTTACAGCTAGAGTTTAAAAATTGGCAAAACATGTGCGTCTCGATTGATGCCAAATTTAACGATGCGGTCACTTTCTCCTTATTGTTAGACGAAAAGAATTCATGGACCTCTAATATATACATACATACGTATACGTGCACCTATATCTATACCAACTTATGTATTTGTTTTACTTTCTCCGAATGTAGCAGAAATAGTCAACTTGTATAATTTTTTAACAAAACTGATACCGCGTATCAGTTACGAACGCTTACTAGTCAACGAGTGATTTCAAATATTTGGTCCATAAGTGTGTAGCGAAATCAAGTAATACAATATATTCGGCTTTCTACAATATTATAGTATAGGCTCTCAATTATAATATACATATGTATATTACTTTGAAGCTTTCAACGTGCGATATGTGCATGCATGTACGTGTATAAACAAATCATTACAAAAAATAATTCGATTCCACAAAGCAAAATGAAATCTATGGAAAACCAGGGATGGTCGTCACGGTTAGTAATGTAGTATACGACCATCTTCGACGTGTAAATGTAAATAAATTTCCTTTATCGTAAACAATAGAACAGTCGGTCGAATCGTATCGTGTAGTGTCGTTTAGTCAATCTAATCTAACCGATTTACACGCCCGCTATTGGTCGTATCTATAATTAAATCGAGTTAGCCTTTTTTCGTAGTAAGATTAACGGTTTTGTCTAAACAGACTAAAATTAAATGTGTATAAATTATCCAAAGTAAACACGATACATACCCATACGTATCCTTGGCATCGACTTTGATGTTAACTTGTACGAAAAACAACGTAATTAAGAGAATAATCATGTTTCCTATCACCTGTGGCTTCAGGACACTCGATACATATGTGCTCGTATGCCTTTCATCCAACAGTTTTATTCTTCTCTCCACACAATTTCGAACGCACCTTTATCGGAAGGGGGGATTAAAGAGTGACCGGGGTATCGACATTGTCATGTACTAAATTTATCAATCGTCCTAACATATCCGACAACGAAAACAAATACATCCTGCTTAATAAATTATTTATTTAACTTTCCCATTTATTATCTCGTAAGTTAACAAAATTATTCGACAATTTCTTGTTTAAAAAAAAAAAAAAAAAACCAACAACTTGTAACTACGTCGTTAACATTAATCGTGAAACCGGTAGTCGAGGACTATTCTACGGGATTCTACGGCAAAAATTTAAGTAATACGATCGAATGTTGCTCAACAGCAGAAAAAATTACGTCGGTCGACGTATACAGGGTGCCCCAAAAGTGTTGGAGTTCCTTGAAAGGGGTGGTTCGGGAGGTGATTTGAAACAACTTTTTCCTTTGCGAAAATGTCCGATGGGGCTTCGTTAAGCAGATATTATACATAAATAAATTTACTGTACAACTTATTTGTAACATTTGGCATTACGCGTATATATTTCTTCTGGGATGCGTGTAACGTAAATAAAATCTTTTTTCAATTTCTTCTGTTTCATTTTTTTCATTAATAAATATCCATGATACATGATTACGATCAGATACAGAAATTAATGATAGGAAAGCGGACAAGAATATCGGCGAATTACTTTTTCATTCGTCGCCCCGTATCGCTCTATATTTAGCCAATTCATGTGGAAACACTCTAGTTAATTCTACTAACATATTTGCTTTGAATTTACGATACGCATCTATTTTGCCTTTTACTTGTTCATTTTTGGTTAATGCTTTTTCGATACAGTCTTTCGTATACAGCTGGGGATTTCTGCCTTGATCGATATAACTGTAATTAAGTATATTAATTAATGCTCATTTTAACTCTGGTTCTGGATTCTAATATCATTAAGCTGTATATAGTTACTCGAAAACCTCCAAAGGTACATGGACATCCTGAACCTGAGACTTGAGTTTGTCTATTTCTTGTAAACCATTTACCAAACCTTGACTACAAACAAAAATTTTTATTTTCATTGTAATCAACTTTCACTCAGTCTTTACAAATAACAATCGGTTAACCTTTTATCAACTTAACCTTTCATAAATACGAATGTTTAAGTGTTAGAATACTTACATCTTCTGATTCAATACATTCTGTCCTTGAGGTTGAAAGTCACTCACAATAATTCGTATTTGTCTTACATTTTCAATAAAAAGTTCCAACTGTGTTTCTAAATTTTCTAGTGCCGACGCCATTTTTTATATTTCATCTTTCATGCCGTATATGTGTATGTGTATGTGTCGGATATGTAATACATACATACTGTTTGCCTGCTTGTACCAAGGTCACGTACACAAAGTTTCTAGTGCCGCGTGGGAAAAATTCACCCAACTAAAATGCGCGTGTATGCATACATACAGTAGCGGGTTTTTTTAAATTGCTTTAAATTATTTAAAAGAAAGTAAGCCAGAGTAAGTGCAGATGCAATTTAAAGGATTTTCGTCGTTTCAAGAAATATTATTTTTGCACGCGACATTATAAACTTTGTACCAACTTGTAATACGTGCGCCTGGACTCCCTGCTTGCTACCAACTACCACCTGCTCCATCACTTACCACTGCACACATTATTCTTTTGTGCTATCTTGATCATACTAATTGTAATTCTAATTACTAAATGATGTAACCCAATGTAAGTCGTACCGTAAGCGTTTAACTTGAATGGTTTTCTGTTCGACCCTTTGAGTAGGAACTTTCCAAGGGATATTGTCCAAATTCTAACAATAAGATTATCTTCGAAAAAAGGACTGTCTCTCCTCTCCGTTCCTCTCTTTGCTCTCCTTCGTGCATTCGTGTTTCTTCGGTGTTGAGGTTGAGCATGATTGAGCATCATTGAGCATGATTGAGCATTGAGCAGTGTTAAATGTTGAGTATTATTATTTTCCGCAGCGTATTATTTTCAAGTATTAGTCACGTGTTTCATCCGTTTTATTTGTTATCGTTACTTATTGTTTGTTGTCTAGTAAATAAAGTGTTATTCTGTTTCTTATGTAAGAAAAGTTGTTTTCGCTTTTCTACAAACCAATGACCAAGACGTAACGTTCAACGTTGTCATTGTTGTCACGTTCTAGTTCTAGTCCTACTTAAAAAGCAGTATTCTACGTACATTTTAAAGTAGATTTATTTTTTTTTATAACATGACTCTGAAACACGTAGTTATAGGCAAGTTTATTCTCGTTTAGAAAATTCTTATTAACTGGATAATTTCGATAATTCTATCAGAGATAAGGGTTATGTTGTTGTTATTGTCTCAGGTGGTGGTACAGGCTTTATCGGAACAAACATAATTAAGTCGTTATCTAGTCAAGGAATTTCGTGTACGTGCATTTCTCGAATGCCTGGTCCTAACCGAATGACATGGGTAAGACAAAAAATCTGATACGCTCGCTCGTATATGTATAATTGGATAATTTCAATATATGATGTACGATACGCAGCATGATTTAGAATATTATGGTTTACCTGAAAACACAAGTGCTGTGATTAATGTCGCTGGACAAGATGTACTCGACCCTAAACAACGATGGTCGGAAGGATTTAAGCAAAACGTCATAAATAGTCGAGTGAGAACAACACAATTCTTAGCTAAAGCTATAATTAATACCAAAGCTGATATTTTTGCAACAATTTCCGGGGTAGCTTATTATAAACCAAACGACACAGAATATACGGAAGAAAGCAAGTGCGAAAAATATGATTTTTTATCAGGTAAATTCATAGTTTGTATTTAATTTTGCAGACTTTTATTATGCAGATTATATTACATTGAAATTATTATTTAACGCATTAGAACTTTGTCACGAGTGGGAAGCAGCCGCGCAACTTCCGCGAGATAGTACTATCAGACAAGTTACTATCAGATCTGGAGTAGTATTGGGAAAAAATGGTGGTATGATTAAACAAATATATCTACCATTTTTTGTTGGTTTGGGTGGTCCTATCGGTAATGGAAATCAGTACATGCCTTGGATACACATAACGGATTTAGTTAACATGTTCTTGTTTTCGCTTAGAAACAAAAATGTACATGGCATATTAAACGGAGTTGCTCCACAGGTGATTGACTTAAATTCAATTTCTTTCAAGTTTCTAGAGTCTATACATGTATATAATATAAGGTAGGTATGAGAAGCGACTGTATTCCGATGATAACAAATGTACAGGCTACCAGTTCAAACGGTTTGAAAGAAATATAGTCGAAGAGGGTCTTTGCGGAGTGTGTACATCGGAACGTATTTCTTGTATTTTGTTAATTTTAGTTAAATATAATTCGCACGCGTAATACATATTATTAAATCTATCTGTTAGCCTAACATTCCTCCACAATAATTTTCGTAAATATTATCGATAGATCGTGACAAACAAAGAATTTACGAAGGTATTTGCAACGACAATGCGGAGACCTGCGCTTATTCCTGTACCAAGCTTTGTTTTGAGTATCCTTTTAAACAAAGAACGAGCAACAGTTAGTAAAAAAAAAATGTCCATTTACACTGCTATTTTCACTGTTTTCAGCGATACTATACTAACTCCTTTTCAGATTATTTTGGAAGGACAAAAAGTTATACCGAAACGTGTAAAAAAATTAGGATTTCAGTATCAGTATCCCGATATAAATTCTGCGTGTGCTGAAATACTTGGTAAAAATATTAAAAATAATAAGAATAAATAAAATTAAGATTGACGCTTAATTGTATAGATTTGATTAGGAGGGAAAAATATGAAGGATGGAATTTTAGGTTGTAGATTGTTTTCCTATTTTAGCAAATATGTAAATATACGTGACTGTACAGAATGCATTCGTAGAAGAACATTTTTATACATGCTCCTTTCTCCGAGTAACTTATTAATTTCATCCTGTTTATTAAATATAAAAATTAGTAAATTTTTTAACGTGGATATCGATGTCAGTTTAGTTGATGCATGGTGTAAGAAGCTGGCAACTGGTACTAGATGGTACATAGATGTAATTAAAAACAAATGGTTAAAATGTTTTTACCGATAGATGGCGCCTTTTAGTAATAACCATACTTTTAGGTACTTTTATACTTGGTACTTTATCTAGAATATACAATATTTAATTAGCGTTACCACACGTCTACCCTAGTACGGTTATGGTGTTACCTACGAAATTGATATCAATATCAGTGAACCGATGCACGCTGTGACCGAAGACGAAGAACAATCAATTTCCCCTCTAGAAGAAAACCACTAGTTCCGGCACCAACCAAGAGGCCTATTTTATAGAGAAATTTTGGTTGGTGTTTTGATTGGCGTCGAATAATGTCGAAGCCGATAATCGGATAACTTTCGTTTGGATATTTTAAAATATGCTTCGTAGCGACCTCGTGAGGTCAATTGCGGATGATAACATATACAAAACCATAGAATACAGCGGTACAGGATGCATGATGCATGCATACTTTTACTTGTTATATTTTCATACGTACAGTTGCGTACAGGTAAATAGATATGTACATGGAATGAATTGAGAAGGACAGCGGTAGACGGGACGGGACGGGACGGGAACGGGAACGCGAACGGGAACGGGAACAGGAGAAATATGTAGATTGTAAAATGGCGCGTGTCGCGAGGACAGCTCGGACAGCTGTTGTTTACCTACAAAAGAGGTCTGTAGAGTCTACAACTTGTTGGTCCGAATGAATCATTTTCACAGGACGATTATCACAGACGTAGAAATTTATTCGAAAAGTAACTTGAAAATGAACAGTATTTAACGAGAACTAAGAAGATAAAGGTGATAGAATAACGGATGAATTTAAACGATAAAGTGGTTATACAGTGGTGGCAGTGGTAGTACAAGTCAGCCACGGCCACAGCAGTGTGGTCATGGTAATGGTAATAGCAGTGCAAGTGGTTGTGTAGGTATTCAAGAAAAAAGACAGCTTAAAGCTCAACGAAATTCTTCATGGAAGAATTAATCGGATTCTATGACGCATTGTTGATGTTCGAACCGACAATAAATGAAATTTATTTCAAGTAAATATCACGAGAAGCGTGAAAATAAAAGTACATTAATCAGACCGAAAGGAAAACGAACGGGGAAGTAAATTAAAGTTATTCTCGACAATTTAAGCAACATTATGCTTATTTATCAAAGACATAACATTTTCCTAACCGTTGTTACGTAAATGTGTGAATAAGGTATCCAAAGGAGCAAAAAATCTTATTCTTCATTTTTGCTCCTTTATTTCAATGCGAGTATATATCCGTGTCGGATAATTTAGTCGTAAAACTCTATAAAGAATGTAGAAAGTTACTTGTATGACGTTATTTATTGATTATTTCATTGTATTTTGGAACAATATTGGACAATTTTTTACAACCAAAAGATGACCAAATATCATCCAGTATCACAGCAAGTCTCCACTGTTAATCATCGTTTTTACCACTGCTCTTACGAGGTTAGAACGTGATCGACGTAATCACATTTTCTTTATTGTCATCTTTAAAATTAATTTTTTCAACTTTATTGTTCATCGTACTTATCACTTTATTCTAATTAAATCACGACATATTCATAATAGTCCTTTACGTAAATTTCATGTAGCGCATTCCTCAGTATTTAAATCTTGTTGTATAGGAATCACCATGAATGCGAGAACTCAATTGTTCGAATTAAGTATGGAGGGCCGACAAGTGGACGATGCGGTAGCGAGTATTTTCCACAGCGTTCTTTTTCATAGGAGTCTTGGTAAATTCAAATACAAACAAGAAGGCAGCTATTCGGTAGGCACTGTGGGATACCAAGACGTCGACTGTGATTTCATCGATTTTACTTACGTGTGTTGTTCGTCTGTGCACCTGGACCAAACATTGAAACGTGAAATATCAGGTTTTTCCGAAGCTTTACGGTCCACCGATAGTCCAGGTTCGGGCCAAATATCCTTGGAATTCTTTCAGAAGAAGAAAAATCGTTGGCCCTTTCAACCGGAATGCATACCATGGGAAGTATGGACAGTACGTTTGGAACTAATAAAATTAGCGACAGAGCACGAAAGACAGATATGCAGGGAAAAAGTTGGCGATTTATTAACGGATAAAATTCTTTACATAACGGAAGTAATGAATCGTCACGATTATCTTCCTAAAATGCCAAATCAAGCCGAATTAGATCTGATATTCGATACTTCGTATCCGGATATACAACCGTATTTGTTTAAATTATCGTTTACAACGTCTAGTCCGTCGAGTACAACAATGGGTAATACGATGAAGAAGCTGATCAAAGAGACGTTATCTATTTAGTCGTGTTCGTCGTCTTACAGGGGTGTTGTAGCGTAACGCTACATCTACGACGCGAATTCCTTTAAATAAAAAACTTTGGGAAACGCTCGTTGGAAATAGAAGAAGTTTACTTGTCGTATCGAGTTTCGATTCGCGTATACGCTTGCCTTTCTATCATTTTAATTTCTTGTATCGTTAGTTGCCAAGTGTTGGTTGTGCTACATTTTACATACTAAATTTTCCAAGAAATGTCGTCCATATCTGTTATCTATACATATAACAACTCGTCAAGCGTGAGATCTGGAAATGAAATGGAATAGAATGATATCTGGTGTGCGCGTTACAACAACATCGTTTACGTTACGATCCGTGTAAATACAAGTTCTGTGCCGACAATACTTGTCAGGAAAATCAGACTAATATTTACGATAACTGCAATTATATAGACCTGAAATTTTTGTAAAATTTCTATAGTACAAAGAAACGAATCGTGTACAGTTGTTAAATTTCCGCGTATGAACCGTTTCTGTCTATGCAGTACCGTTGCATAAGTTTGTCGATTGCATGTTAAATAGCACGTGTCTCTTTGTAGTCTAAAAAAATTCTAATTTATTCATATGTTTGATTGTTATTAGCATTATTAGCAAAAGAATGACAAGTTTTTCTAATGTCTTGTTAACGTAATGCAATTTCAGAAACGTTCATCTTTTTTGTTTCTTTGAAACTTTCCTCGTGGTAAGAGTTTGTTTTAAAGAAAGTAATTTGACAGGCAATAAATGTATTTTAACGCGTATAGCCATCATTTATTATGGATGTAAATAAACATTGGAATGTTTATTCTCGTATCGTAGTTACTTACGTATCGTTTCCGTTGGAAAATTTGGAATGTTATACGAGATATCGTCAGTCTTTGAAAACTATACACGGTACATGGAACAAGTATTATGCTCGTCGTATGGAAACAGTTACAGATCTTACAGAAGGCTTAGTTATGTGAATGTATAAGTTTAATGGTATGTTTACGTTTTTAACATACTTTTTAGAAAAGTTGGAAATTGCAAATTGTTAAAATGTGTCGGAAGTAAAATTATCGTTGAAATTCTGATCTGTTGCTAATCGAAATTATACTATTTTTGTATAATTCGCGAAGGCATGCGTCCTCCGAGCATCGTACAGGCTACGTTAAATACCGTATGCGGATATACGTTACGCATGTTGACGTATATGTATACACGTATTCAAATTTATTCGGTTAGGTACAGACTGGTAATTCTTCTAAACAATAGAGTACAATATAACAGAGATAAATATAAATATGTGTTATACACATATACATATACATATACATATACATATATGTACATGTTTTAACGGGGAACGTGACATATCGGTCGAAGTATAAACAATTGAACGTAGTTGATTAACATTGAAATAGCGGTCGTGTGATCGAAAGATTGAGTTGGCAAGAAAAGAGAATCGTGGATCGAGATTAGAAGAGATTGAAACGATTTTAAAGTGGTTCACAGATAGTTACTTACGATACCATATACATATATGTATAGGAAAGATTTGTCCTCGAGTTGAAATTTTTGCTTAAGTGTCGTGTTTGTAAAATAAAAAGCGAAGCGATACGAATAATTTGCGTGAAAATGGAATTTCGTTCTATGGACATTAATTGTAATTGTAAGTGCGATGTAGTGGCAATGTAACACGATGTTCTCGTGTAAAAATGCGCACACGCAAAAATGTATGATATACCGATGAAATATGCGTACAGGATGTTTCGTGATATCCATCGGATCCGAAGAAACATAAATGTCCTTCGAAATAGAACGATCCTTTCATATTTTTATACAACCATCAATTTTCCGAATACGTTACCCATCCAGTAGCTGATTGCTGCGAGTACGGGTTCGAACGTATCCGAATATTTCTAGCAAATCGTGGCTATAAGATTTAGCGACGTAATCTCTGTTGCGATTCCAAGCGATCCTACCAAATTACACGATAGAAGCATACAAAAGTATTCGCTCACGTATTTCTCGGATTTGTTGGACATTGTGCACCTTGGACGAAACTTGGTAATTGCGTGCCTGCTATTCGTACACGAGCAAGTTGATACATGTATATTTTTGCATATATACAAATTGCGCGTGTACGATACTATATATATATATATATAGAGAGAGAGAGAGATAGAGAGAGAGAGAGAGAGAGAGAGAGAGAGAGAACTGTATAAAGAAAAGAATGATGAAAAGAAAGTGGAAATGTGAAAAGAGCGACTAGACGTAGATACACGTGCAATTCAAGATTTATGAAATCATTTTAAGACAAATTAAAATAATATGCGCCAAGTTATCAAGTATAGCACTAAGGTGTATTTGCGTTTCCATTAAAGTAAATATTGTGTATATATATGCGCATACATAGATACAGATAGGTACACGTATAAGTAATAAGAATTAATGGTAACGTGTAAATTGCGAGATATCGAAATAGTGAGAAAAGTGTTGCGTAGCTGTATTGTAATAAGGTAATGGAAATGCTTTAGACTTGATTTATCATGGAAACTACGAGGATAAACGTTTCACTCTTAATAAATTACCGTATTTTACAAGGGGCATTTTATTACGTATGCATGTGTATGTGTTATGTGCTTTTTAAAAGCAAGAAGGAAAAGGTGAAGAATATAGCAGGATAAGTACTGCGCGGACAACGGACGACGGACGATGGGCTCGAGGAAAAGAGCTGAATAAAGAATAATTAACCGAGGCCGATGATAATGTGGACGCGTGCGCGACGAAACGGCGGCTGGTCTGCTTAGGTTCACCAGCGATTTTCCATTCTCAGTTGTCGATCGAAAAGGCTGGACTGCTTGTCGACTGGCGTCGCCTTGGATACCTTTCGGTGTAGCTAACGTTGTTTGTCGTTGCGCGAGTGAGTCGTTGATATTCACAGAGTGTAATATCGTAACTCGTACTCTAGGACACCTCGAGTGGCCCATATGCTTTTCGTTCAGATTCAGTTTCCTCGAAAGAACCACTAAAGATAGGCGGAAGAAACGATTGGAAAAATCACTGTTTCACGTTTTTTTTATAATCAATTCAACTAAAACTTGCCAAGATTGTATACTTTCGATAACTTGAATCTTTTTTCAAATTTATCACCAACGCGGAATATAGCAAGTTGAAAGAACATGGTTGTATTGTTGCGTCGTAAACTGTTCGTTATTCAAGATTCCTAGAAAATGTCGTGCAAATAATTTAACGATTTATAAACTCTCTTTTTCTTTTCTCCCGTTTCTCGTCTCTTATCTTTCGTCTTTCCGTTCTTCCTTGCGTGACCTTTTACGTAACATTAACAAAAAGAAACCCGAAGGAAGCTAACATGTGTAATCTTCAACAGGTGGCTCAAAGTCAAGCCTTTCGAAGGTTTCGATATTAATTTAATAATTGTTACGCGAAATCGTCGACAGAATTTATTCGTTTAAACAGAAATGAATTGTCTAATTTTTAATTTTTGTATCGGTTTACGGTTACGATTAAACGATTAGACGTGATCACGTGATTCTGTTCTATTTTCAGGAACCGTTTTTAACTCGGTAACCTCGATAAACGTAAGATTTTACTATTTTTAAGATAGCTCGTCCGATTCGAGCGACTCAAAGGTGGAGGTTAACGAGCGGAAAACGATGCGTTCGAGTCAAAGTTGAGCTTCGAGTAGACGTCCAAGTACAAAGAGAAGGATGAGGTTCGATAGGAAAAGAACGATAGATGGAACCTAGATAGGAGAGGCATTTGTACATATATTTACTTGACATAGTATACCTTGATTTCAGATGACAAGTAGGAATACTATATGTGTAAAAGAGTGCGAAGCTGTGAAGAATGTAAAGCTTTCTTGTTAATTTCTTGAGAGAAAGAGATTTCGAAAGAGGTTTCGAAAAATTAGTTATGCAAAGAAAGAGCAGAGATGATTAAGGGAAATGGAAAAGGAGCCAAAATGGAAAATGGAATGATACGGATACGAGTTTGAAGGGCGCGAGAAGAAAAAGAGAAAATAAGATCGTGAAAGAAGAATGATTAATGCGACAATTTGCGTGGATATTTGGTCGGAGAAGAACGACTCGAGTCGTTCGAGCGTGGAAAATGACGCGACTTCGGACGTTATAGTGCAAGTAATTTTTTATATTTTCTACGGAAATATCTTTGTACTGGGTGTGTTCGGGAACGCGTTGGTGTGCTTCGTCGTAGCACGAAATCGTCAAATGCAGACGGTAACGAATTTATTTATCACAAATTTGGCGCTGAGCGACGTGTTGCTTTGCGTGCTGGCGGTTCCGTTTACGCCTCTATACACATTTTTGGGCGGTTGGATATTCGGTAAAACCCTCTGTCACTTGGTGCCGTACGCTCAAGGTGTTAGCGTTTATATCAGTACATTGACTTTGACGAGCATCGCGATCGATAGATTCATGGTGATCATATACCCGTTTCATCCTCGTATGAAGATCGATGTTTGCCTGGCCGTGATCGTTGGTATCTGGATAGTGGCTTTATTGGTCACCCTGCCATACGGGCTTTACATGCACTTGGAAGAACCATACGCTTTTTGCGAGGAGCATTGGCCGTCCGAACGGTTTCGCAAAATCTTCAGCTCCGTCACCTCGATACTTCAATTCGTCTTACCCTTCTTCGTGATCGCGTTCTGCTACACTCGCATATCGATCAAGTTGAACGATCGAATCAGATCGAAACCTGGCACCAAGATACCCAACAAGAGTAAAGAAGCCGATAGAGAGAGAAAACGACGAACAAACCGAATGTTGATAGCCATGGTCACTATATTTGGCATTTCTTGGCTACCTCTCAACATCATCAACGTTGTCGATGACTTTTATTCGGCCGCCAACGATTGGTCCTATTACAGACTTTGCTTTTTCATGACGCATTGCCTCGCCATGAGCAGCACTTGTTACAACCCGTTCCTTTACGCTTGGCTCAACGAGAACTTTCGCAAAGAATTTAAGCAAGTACGAATCATTCAATCGAAACATTTCAATTGCTCGTATTTTCGACTCGACGCCGACGATGCTTTCCCACCTATAATCAATAAATAGTTAATAAATAGTTGACAGTTGACAGCTGACAGCGATTTCACTTCGCTTCACTTCACTTCACTTCACTTCACTTCACTTCACTTCACTTCACTTCATTTCACTCGAGTTCAATTCAGTTCGATATCGTAACGAATTTTTCCTGAAAATTTCTAAAACAAACTAGCTACTCTTCATTTGTTTTGTATTCTCCATTTCTAACCGCGAAGAGTGAGACGATCTCGTTTGTGTTGTATTTTCAATTACTCAACCACGCAACAACTTATAATTGATTTTGTAAACTATACCTACCCACCAGCGTATATGTAATCTCTTCGACTCGACAAGTCGACGATCTTTCAATTACTCGAAATGATCGAAAGGTAACAACGAAATGCGTCCATTTTCACGCGAGCTTCATTTTTCTGAATTCTTTTCAAGGTACTACCGTGTTTCTCGAGCACCGCTAATGCTCCAGCTCCAACAACCACCGGAAGATTCCGAAACGATAATGCGTGTAATGCTGGTAACAACACTCTTCAGGAATCTTTGCTACCGAGTCATGCTCGGAACAAAACACCGAATCAAGAGCTATGCGAATTGATTGTTCTCGATACGGTGACCGCCAACGCGCCAAGAGTCCTCCACGAGGCTGCTGAAATTCTGTAACCCGACTCTCTGTAGCTCGATCTTGGTAAGACCAATTTCTTATCCTATTTAGTTACGTATCCGTATCCATATCCGTATCCGTATCCCTACTACGACGTTTTATCTTCGACTATTTTCAAACTCGGTATAATTCTTTTTTTGTTTGCTTTCTTACTTTTTTTTTCTCGTTGTGTAGCCTGAATTCATTATTTCTGGACAAGCGTTCATTCGCAACACTCCTCTTGCTAGGATTTTCTATACAATTCTATTGCAATGACAAGATAGCCAAGACAGTGAAACGCGCGGGACGGTGAAAATCGTCGATAAATCGATGCGCGACGGGAGTGCAGTGTCCGAACATGATTTCATCATTCAAACTGGACATTTTATTCAAATATAAAACAAAGATCGCTTTCTCTAGAACCCTACGGCCCCTATTTAAGCGTCAATCTTGTAATTACGAGCTCGGATTCATACAATTTGAAAACTGGGATTGTATAACTTTCGCTACATCATTTTAGAGGCAATTTTTAACGAGAAAAGAAAGTTTTAGCTGTTTTAAGCTGTTTTCGAAAAAAGTTCAACTTGTTTAATTATCTCAAGTCTAAAATCGATTATGTGTACAACATATATGTACGTATGTATATTGTACGTATACTTGCCACGCCACACTACGTACAACATTTTCAATAGATTTCCAAAGTACTTACACGACATCAAGATTACACGTACTTTCCTTTGTATGTTATCGTCCATTATCGTTTGTTATCATTCGCTATCGTCGCTCGCACTTTGCCTTCGTATGTACCTTTGCTTCTTCTGCTCTTCTGCTCCAATACTTTCACTTTTTCGCCATTCAATTTCGTTCCTCTTCGTTCCATTTTAGCTGCGGTGGAACGTATAGATCGTTCGATCAACGAAATCGATTAACTAAATACTATAATGAAATAAAGAATATTGCCCGTACGTACGAAACCGGTTAAAAGACAAGCCATCCTGTTGGTCGACCAACAACAGCTGTGTTATCTGGAATATTATGTATACACAGCTGCTCGAAAGCTCTTAAACATTAAACGATGGAGAAAAGGTACAATGGGACGACAGAGGTGAAATATATGTCTTATTTTCGTTTTTAATTAACTCTTTCTCTCCAGCTGTCTATCTATTTGTTGTCTATTAGGAATGTTCATCTTTGACGATAACTCATCTCTGATGTTACAGAAGCAACTCTACACTTACCATGAGAACAAGTCTTGGAATTGGAACTATTAGCGCTGTCATTGGAAACTATCGCAACAACAGCTTTTGCGTTCATTCGTCACTCTAACGAAAATATTCGATTATAAGTGGTAACGTCCTTTTTAGTAACTTTCGAGTACCTACATACATATACATATTTACATACATACATACATACATGGTTAAAAACATTGAAAAGCAATTGATAAAAGCTAAGAATGGATCGTCGTCTCGGCCTCGATTCGATCGTTGACTATTCTCGAGGGCAATTTCTTTCTCCCCTTTCGCTCGTCTCCGATTACAATTCCGCAATAACTTCTCATTATATTGGCAAATGATTGCGGTAATTCGATTCGAGTCCATCTTACGAGAAACGTTTATCGAGTGACAGTTGGAATGACCGAGAGCATGATCGAACACAATCGAATTGTGCCATTTTCATTTTATAACGATCATTTACGCTCGCATTTTTCCATAAAATTTGCTGCAAACAGTAAAAGTAGTCCAGTCTAAAAACATGTTCGTATTTTTATTAACAATCTTACACATCCTAATAATTACATTATACAATCTATGCCTCATATTTATTTTATACAAAGAAAGACATTGACAAGTAAACGGTACCTTTCTCGGAATATTTTCATTTGGCTAATCACCAATCATCATTTTTTCCTTTACACTTCATGTTACATATGTTCGTAAAGATGCAGAACCCGACACAATCGACTTACATATATTATATCCAGTTATTATTTCGTTTCCCTCTTCGCCACGCATACACAAACGTAAAACAATACATTTATACATACCTATACATCAGGCTATTCCAAGCTAAGCTCATATTTACAGTCCACCCCGGTTCATTGTAAACAGACCAATTTTACCTGATTAAACGACTATCTTGTTTCTATCAAAATTCATAGACATAATTGTGTTTTGGTAATTACGACGAATGTTACCATGTCGTCGAATGAAGCAAATGCTGGAGTAACGGAGACGATAAACTGATACACGAACCTGCGTGTACGTATAGTTATAAGTTATAATCTTCTAATGCAGGCTGCGGAAAATCGACAGATCGCCGTTCTAGAAGAACATAGCGTTCAGCTTCTCCCACTCCTCATCTACGCAAGAACCCCCACACTCTCTTTCTCTCTTCCTAGGACTTGACAGAGCTATCGCAGTGGGGAGAAGCCCACTTGCTTCATGGAGCAAGAGTGCCGATCCCTGCATTACAATTTACAATTTATAATGTGTCCACCGTCTTCATCGCTCCACCAAATGGTGGTATATAGTACATTTATCGTAATTCAGAACACCAGGAGCTTAATTTGAATTTCACCGGCATACTTGCCAATTTTACGTATGCCGTAGACATCGATTGAAAATTAATTTTACATTTGTTATTTCAATGGTATCGATGCATGTACACATTCTTGTAATGTAAGACATGAAATAATACAATTATCATTTGCGACAACCGTCCTTTCGCAGTATCGATCTTCTTTCCACTATCACTTTTCAATTTTATACTCTTAGACCACAAGTGTAATCTATCCCAATAAATGTTAATGCCAAAGAGAATATATCTACTTTGTAAATAATTAACTAGTCGTGCCGGTAAGATTAAGAACCATACGTTATCAACCATACGTCATTAACACTCTATCATGTTTACGTATCAGCGACAAACGATGCAACGCCATATTGTGGCAAGAAAATTAATTGTCAACTTTAACATTGCATAACATTAAACGATACCCAATACACGATTTAAAGTGTTACCTTCGTTCGAAATCAAAATCCTTGCATCCATACAATCGACAACTTCTTTGGCATTAACATTACGTATCCTTCGACGTTATGGAAGATAAATATTATTTCTTCTCTTTGATATTTGAATTATATAAAATATGTATATGTATACATATATACAGATAAATTTCATCTGAGCCATAATTTTAACCTCAGAGCATCTACACCGTTCAAATAATACCGAAACAAACGTTTATCGCGTACAAAGCCTAGATTTTCATATAAACGTAGCGCCGGCCGATTAGTAATTTCCGTTTCCAGAACTACTTCATCCGCGTTATCTTCCATCATTGCTTGAATCGCTCGTCTTACCAAATTTGATCCGACCTTTCGCTTTCGATATTTCACATCAACGGCTAACATTGCAATATATCCACGTTTTATCACCTTTCTATGAATATCCAGCTTGCAAACAATGGCACCGACACACTCGTCACCATGCATTGCCTTGACGAACAAAAAGCAACAATTTTCTATAAATTCTACATCTACCAGATAAATAAATCTACAAGCATATAAGCTCGTAAAAAATAGGAAACCGCGTTATGCAAAGGTCATCTGTATATTAGACATTTTTGCAAATATACATACCAAGAAGCACAATTTTGGCCAATTGTGAATAAAATATCTATACGTGTAAATGGAATAAGGTTCGCTTAAATCCTTTTGTATTAAGTGCATAATGTTAGGCATTTGCAGTTCGCTTGTGTAACTAACGTATTGTATGTTACCGCTTTTATGTTCCAATGACAATGTTTCTGCCTCGTCTAAATACATACAAGGAGGAAACGATAAGAATATATTTACGAGAGTATAATTTTCGTAACAAAGTTAACAGTATAAAGAGAGTATGTTTCATAACAAAGTTAACAGTATAAAAACATCGATTATATAGATTCTATCTAAAAATTAGTTTCAACTTAATCCTTAAACGCTTAGTAATAACAATGCAATATCTTCTATTCGATGTTTTTCTCGCCTACTGTAATTATAAGTTGCACAACGCTATGGCTTCGCTATCCTTTCTTCAAGGGCATTCGAGTTAGATACTCCTTGTAAAAACAACAATGTGTAGATACAAAATTCTCATACCGTGTTGGTTTAAATGACCTTGTCGAGGTGGTATTCCATTTGTATGCGGCTCTTCGTACACTTGAATCGTTTTCAGACTAAGTCGAGATTTAATGTCTAGAGTAGTAATATTTGTCAGGCAATTTTCCTTCTTCTCTTCGATGTTACTTTGCTGAGTTTCTGATTCGTTTATATCTGTCCCGCTGTCCATCTTAATGCTTTCCATTTCTCTTAACTTGGCCAAATTTTTAAATCCCCAATCTTCCCGTTTCCCGTTTCTGAAGGTACTGTATCTACGTATATACAGTGTATATTATTTTTCAAAATTTTACATGTGATGTACCAACTATGATGTGGCATCAGAATGTTTAGTTGCGTCGGAAATTCTTCAATCGAATTTTCATAATTATGCTAGATTTCACGTTTTTTCAATGTTATAAATATGGAAAAAAAAGAAATTCGACGTAACCGCTAAACAATAGACACCATTGCCACCATTGGTCAGGTCACTATATTGCTATATACCAATATACCGTATATGTAAGTATCGACTTTTATACGAGACCACAGGCCACAACAGATGAACAGAACTGAACAGAAGAGAAATTCTTATGTATGTACCATGAGAAAGTAGCTTCAATTGTAAATTGCAATGTTTCTATAAAGGTGGGTGTTCATGACCATTCGACAACACCATTATGTCACGGACATTATGTCTTAATTATTGTCATCGTTATTGTATTAAAGCATACAATTGTGTTATGAACTTGAAAATCGTATTGTAAACGAATAGAAAGTAAGTTGCTTTCTGAATGACAAATACAAAAATATTACTAAAAATAATGAAAAGATAAAGTAAATCATGTTTATTATAGTTGATTTTATTGCTACAAGAGGGCGCTCGCATTAGTGGCGAACGGAACACCGGAAGTAACGAAGAGGCTTACTACACTTTTGTAGATTCAAGTTCCTTTTGGACCAAGACAACATGGGTAAGATGCTCGATTTTATACAATTTTTATCTTTATCGGTTTCAATCCTTGTTTTCTATTAGAACATCATCAATGATCAACTATTAGTAGTTTACAGTAACATCTATTTTTATAGTTTATACGCATATTACCCCTCTAAGTGTAGTATGAAAACTTAAAAACCCATTAATCAGTGGCATCGATTCTTGCTTTGTTAATTTGACATATTTGTTATTTTTCTCCTATTTTTCTCGTTTTTCAATTTCTTATATATTAACTCCGCGTTATTCCATATATTTTACTGTAAAATTCATTTTATGCAACTTACACGGCTATGTTTATTTTAGTATCTAGGAAATGAAAAAGATATTGTTTTACAGGTATTTCTCGTGACCATTGGCATAAAAGGCGAGCAACTGGTGGCAAAAGGAAGCCCATCCGTAAAAAGAGAAAGTTCGAATTAGGACGGCCAGCTGCAAACACTAAGCTTGGAACTCAACGTATTCATACGGTAATGTTACATAGTGTTTTGTAAGAATATCTTTTCTACTGGCAACAATACCACGATACTATTACGAGATGATATGATGAATACCTTTACCTACTCTGAACAATGTGTTGTCGACCTAAATCTCACAGCGTACTGAAGCAAACTATATATATATGTATATCAAATACTACGTGTTTTTATTGTAACTCTTTGGAATTTTGTCTGTTTCATTGTACATTAGGTACGTACGCGAGGAGGTAATAAGAAGTACAGAGCACTTCGTTTAGACACAGGAAATTTTTCATGGGGTTCGGAATGTACTACAAGAAAAACACGTATTATCGACGTGGTTTACAATGCGTCGAATAACGAATTGGTAAGAACAAAGACTCTAGTGAAGAATGCAATCGTCACTATCGATGCAACACCTTTCAGACAGTGGTACGAAAGTCACTATGTTTTACCATTGGGCAGAAAACGAGGTGCTAAATTGGTAGGTATTTCAACTTTTTTTTATATTATCGTTAATTAAATATTATAACAAGAAAGGAAATCGAATGTGTGTACAGACAGAAGCAGAGGAAGAAGTTTTGAATAAGAAACGTTCGAAGAAAGCGGAAGCCAAGTATAAAGTAAGGCAACGTTTTGCCAAAGTAGAACCCCCTCTGGAAGAACAATTTGCTACGGGACGTGTACTTGGTATGCTATATTTCATGTGCAATTACTTTCGTATAATTTTAATATCAACTCTACGGAACATGTAGCAGCGTGTAGC